AGATTTTATTTATTTATTTGAGAGAGAGAGAATGAGAGACAGAGAGCATGAGAGGGAAGAGGGCAGAGGGAGAAGCAGACCCCCTGCCGAGCAGGGAGCCCGATGTGGGACTCGATCCTGGGACTCCAGGATCATGACCTGAGCCGAAGGCAGTCGCTTAACCAACTGAGCCACCCAGGCACCCTTGACTTTTCATTTTCTAAAGTGAATGATGATGTTGACAGCAGCAGAGATTGTTCCTAAAAGATTATTTTCTTTTAAAAGATCAATGAGTTAAACTTTGCCTTTAAGTTCGGAATTGGACAGTACAACAGTTATTTTCGTTTTTAATGCCCTCCAGTGGGCTAACGTATTCATTCGTGTTACCTTTCCAGTAGGCAACCACGGTTACGATAATGCACTAGCAGACATGCATCCGATATTTTTAGCCCACGGTCCTGCCTTCAGGAAGAATTTCACGAAGGAAGCCATGAACTCCACAGATCTGTACCCTCTGCTCTGCCACCTCCTCAACGTCACAGGCATGCCGCACAACGGATCGCTCGAGAGTGTCCGGGATCTGCTCAGCTCAGCAAGCCCGGGAGCACGTCCTCGCGCACCGAGTCCCACGCTCGTCCGTGGCAGCGTGGAGCCCGGAGAAGACGAGCGTGAGGAGCCCTATGCTTATTTCCTAGGGGTGTCGCTCGGCAGCATTTTGGTGATTGTATTTTTTGTAATTTTCATTAAACATTTACTTCGCAGTCAAATACCTGCCTTACCAGACATGCAGGCTGAAATCGCTCAACCGTTGTTACAAGCCTAATGCTACTTTGAAGTGGAGATGGTGTACTTATTTCAGTGTTTAAAGGTTTCAGATTCTAGGAAACCAGTTTCAGGCATTTGCCCAGATCATTAGGCAGTTATAAACATAGACAGGAGCGCGCGTGCACAACACACACACACACACATCATTAGGCAGTTATAGACAGGAGCGTGTGTGCGCGCACGCACACACACACACACACACACACACACACACACACCAAGTACACATACCCACAAAGGATTAAAGTGGGGAAGTATGAATCTCTTATTCTCTCTGGCTTAGGGGAAGATAAAATCCTGCTTTATTTGGACATGGCACATATAATATATATATATTTAGCACCTTTGCACTAATTAAAGTACCTTATGTATTGCACTTTAAATTACTCTCCTAATGGGTACTTTTATATGAAATGCACTTTACTGACGATTATGTCTTATAATTTGGTTGAAAAACAAATTTTTTTCTGCCCACATCACAGAATACTTGTTAGTTGTTGTTCAAACTGAATGAAATTTCAAATAATTCCTGAAAAATGTCAAAATCTGTCTCCTTAAACCGGGAGTGCAAAAAGAAAGTCAAAACTGTTGGAAATTAAATGTGACAACCTTTGTACATCGAATTTTGGAGAGATGCATTCCCAACAGCAGGATGCATCTGTGGGCATTCCTTCTCATACTTCTTTCTAAAAGACATGGGTTTTCATTTTATTTTTCTTAAAAAAAAAAAAAAGGTTCAAGTACTGACGGATTCATTCTAAACATGCCGTATCTGTCATGAAATTCATGATTGCTGTTTTCTGAGGAGTCATTTTGCTCTGATTCTATAATAATGAAGACACCGTGATATCCGTGTCCTTCCTATGTAGTCCGTGTCCTTCCTATGTAGTCTACTGTGAACAGAAGCCATCGGAGACCATCCCAGCAATAAGCTTTTCTTCTTGTTCTGTAGTTATTTGCTTCTTTGAAAACTAAATCACTATTAATCACATTAAAAATCACATAAGATACAACAATGTTTTCTTTTTGGTAACATGTAGTAAGAGAGCACGAGCATCTTTAAGACTTGAGCATTTGCAGATCCAGTCCCAAGAGAGCACAAGCTATGTTAGGTAAAATGTAGGCCACTTGATCCACAAGAAGGGCTGTGCGGAGTTAGGGAAGGAAAATTAAGTGGGACTTTGTCTGAGATGTTCCCACTGTCCCTAGAGCAGTGCTGAAGGGTGCCTCATGGCAGAAACCAGTGAAATAGCTCTTAGCGGGGACAGGTATTGAAACAAGAGGAACTGAGATCATAGCCTCAGTTCCTGAAATAGTGGGACACCCACTCACCAGGTGCTCAGAGGGATCAAAGATGAAGTCAGGTTCACAGACATCTGTATGGTCACTCAGCTCCTCTCGTTTCAACCACCAAAGCTGTGCTTTAGATCTCTGAAGTAGTCAGGTTGGGGGGACCTAGGGTTTACCTGTCGTTTTCTAGAGGAAAGAGAAAACCCTGGAAAGAACAGCTTTCTTTGAAAAAAAAAATTATATAGACAGATGGCCCATAGATGATACTGTGATTTTGTGTATATTAATGCACCAACTGGCTCATGATTAGGTAAAATGGTGTAGGTATTCTAGAAAGAAAAGGTAAAGCAGATATAAAGAACAAAAGTCGTTTCACCTTCAAAAATAGAGTTGAATTTAAGTACTATTTAGAATAAAGCGAATGCGTTATTTTTTAAATGATACCAATAAAGAAGTTTGGCCCTTGATTCTCATTTCATTGCAAAGCCTTTTAATCAAATAGAATGGAATTCCTGGACGGGTACTGGCATTAAAAAGCTGAGAAGTTAGATGGTAGATGGCAAACTCAAGAAGTCTCTGAAGGAGACATTTTGGAATCCTCAGTGGCCACTCCTCTTGGCTTGCTGCATAGCTGTGAACTTTACCAGCATCACTGAGATGCCAGGATAATGACCAAAAGATGAAACTGGTCGATTTAAACGCATTACTGTTTAAATGCTGTCTGTACATTTAAAAATTGTTGCATTAAATTCATTTTAGAATTGCCTTAGTGGTAAGAGGAAAGCAAATGCTGTACCATTGATGAAATCATTAAAATTCTGATCTGAATATTGGATTACTGCATGGTTTCTTTTATTTACACATACTTCGTTTCCTGTAAAATATAAGCAGTAGAGTTTACCTGAAGGAAAGTACAATTTTAACTTTCACTGGGACATCTAGTCACGCATCACACCTTGAGAGCTTTTTTGTTGTTTTATCTGCACATCTGCATGGTCAAGCTTTGTATGCACTGAACACAAATGAGCACATAGAAATAAAATTTAGGCTAGCTGATCTTACAAATTGTGAGAATTTTTTTAAGGTCAGAAGAATGGAGTACCTCCCCCGCCCAACCCTGCCATTTTTGCTGAACATCACCCATCAACCATTTTGTACAATCTATTAATTGATAAGATTTGTCTTCACTGTACGTTTTGCAATTTCTTCTCCCTTATACCACCTGACATTGAAATTTAAACCTGCTTTTCAAAATGCTCTCTCACCTCTTCAGGTAAAACTAGGATCCTGTTAACTTCAGTTTCTTACAAGAACCTATTACCTCTAGAAAATCTAATGGAGGTACTAGCTCTTCAAGCTGGTAAATTTTTCTAGCTGTTCATTACCTAAGGGGGACAGACTCGAGAATCCCTAGAGCCGGGAAGGATCTTAGGGACTGTTCAACCCCCTTGACAGCTGTGGAATGATGTGCATGCCCATAGGAATGTCAGCTGGAAGCAGGACCCAGGATCAGATCTGATGCACACTGGGCGGGACAGGACTTCAACAGAATGAATGTTGAGGGGACACAATTCAGTGCATTTGGCACTCATGATAGTTGGATGTTGAACCTTCTGACTTGGTTGATTGTTTATCTCCTTGAATATTTCCCAACTCTGTTGCTGTTATACCACTTGAGAGACTTCATCTTCCAAGCCATAGCCTTTTCATTTTTTTTTTACACATTAAAAGTCATGTTTTTTAGTTATCCCAAGTTCTTGCTTGTTCTGTTTCTTTGTAATACTATATTATTTATTTTAACTTCCTTAAAGTAAAACATACTCAAACGTGTACAAAGGGTAAATGAGGCCAATTATCAGAAAGTGAGTAAATACATGTAACTGTCACTTTAGAGGAGAGAGAGAAAATATAACATTACCAGTTCTCCAGAAAGATCCTCGGTTCTCTTCCCAAGCACTCCCTCCTCCTTCCGGCTAAAGGGGACTCTGTCCTGACTTGGAATGCAATAGAATAGCTTCCCCTATTTTAAATGTTATCTAAATGATCAATACGACATTTTTTTTAAAGATTTCATTTATTTGTGAGAGAGCATGCAAGAGTGGTGGGGAGGGGCAGAGGGAGAGGGAGAAGCAGAATACCCCCTGAGGTGGGAGGAGGGGGGAAGGCTCAATCCCAGGACCCTGAGATCACGACCTGAGCCCAAGGCAGACGCTTAACCAACTGAGCCACTCAGGTGCCCCAATACGATATACTTTTATGTTTGTTTTTTTTCACTCAAGATTATGTGAGATTCATCCATATTCTTGTGTGTAGCCCTGCTTTATTTCCATTGCTTCATGGAACGACATTATATGAATATACCACAATCTTATTTATGTATTCTAGTTTTGGATATTTTTATCATTTCCAGTTAGATGTTACTATGAATAATGCTGCTATGAGTATTCTTTTACATGTCTTTTGGTGCATATATGTATACATTTTTGTTGGCTATATTCTTTAAATCCACGATTTAGCTAAGTTTTCCCAAAAGCAGAGTCTGAGACACAGGCCTGTATACAGGCAACTTTTGTGTGAATTGATCACCAGAAGTAAGAGTAAGGAACAGGGAGTGAAAGAGCTGCAGAAAAGCCTATACAACTGTAAGTCCAAGGATTGACCACCGTCAGGATTGATTGGGGCTCAGTCCCGCAGCACCTTCAGAGGAGACTTATGAAATAAATCTCAGAACTGTCTGCCTGAGGAATGCAAGAGGGAAGCAAAGCATTTATCCATCAATTTCCCAATCCCGACCCCCTGCCCCGTTAAGAGTGGCCGCATGGGTATGAACTCCACATACTTCTGGGTAGTGCATGCACAAGTATAAAATGTGACCTCATAGGCATGCTGTGCTGTAGTCTCTGGGCCAGGAAGAACGAGGCTAAGCATTTTCAGGTGGCATCTGTGGGAAGTTGGTCTGCGCCAGGATGAAACTGGAGGTAAGAGGTGGGCTGAGTGGATTTGAGACATCAAATGAGTGTCTGATACACCCACGTGTGTATGGATTCTTCATTTTAACCATAAAGGTCATCAGTTCTGTTCATCTATTTGTCTATCCTTGTGTCGACACCATACTGACTTAATTATTACAACTTTATGATAGTTCTTGATGTCTGATGGAGTAAGTCCTATCATGTTATCTTTAAGGTTGTCTTGGCCCTTTTTATTTATTTCTGTATCAATTTGAGTCCGCTTATACAATTCCATAAAAAATAAATAAAACTCTGCTGGAATTGCTTGGATGCAATGACCAGTTTGAGGAGAATTGACATCTTTACAATATTGAATCTTTCAACCTATAAACAGGATACAGCCTTCTACTATTTTGGTCTTTTTTTTTTAAGATTTTATTTATTTGAGAGAGCGAGAAAGAGAGAGAGAGAGAGAGCATGAGTGGGGGGCAGAGGGAGAGGGAGAAGCAGACTCCTGGCTGAGCAGGGAGCCCAATGTGGGGCTCAATCCCAGAACCCCGAGATCATGACCTGAGCCGAAGGAAGACGCTTAACCGACTGAGCCCCCCAGGTGCCTCTATGTTGGTCTTAATTCCACTCGATGCTATAATTTCCTGTGCAAAATTCTGCAGGTATTTTGTTAGACTTAATCCTGAGATATTTCGAAAATGCTTGTCGGTACCAGTATAAACGATACCAGTTTTAAATTTTCATTTTCTGATGATATATAGAAATACACTTGATTTTTCTATATGGACCATATACCCAGCAATTTTGGCAAGCTTCTAGTTTGATTCCTTTGGATTTTCTGTGTATGTAATCATGTCGTCTGTGGATATGACAGTTGTATTATTTTTTGAATCTTATAGGATTCCTTTCTCTTGCATTACTGAGTTGCTCTACCTCCAGTGCAATGTTAAATAAAAGTGATAACAGTGGACAGCCTTGCCTTCTTTCTGATTTTAGGAGAAAAACATTGAGTATCTCACCACTCAGAATATTAGCTGTAGGTTTACTATATTGTTATATTCTGATTCAGTATGACACTAGCTGTAGGCTTACGGCGTATGTATCAGCTTGCAGTTCTCTTCCAGATTTGGTGAGTTGGTTTTTTAAAAAATAATAAATAGGTGTTGAATTTTGGCAATGCTTTTTCCACATCTATTAACATGATCTTGTTTCCCTTATTAATAGAGAGGGTAACACTGATTTTCAAATATCAAACTAATGCTGCACCTCTGGGATAAATCTCACGTGTTTATGTGTATTATCCTTCTACAGTACTGCTAAACTCAATTACGTGTTTTGTTAAAGAATTTTTTTTCATTTAGATATTGTTCTATGGTTTTCTTTAAACATCTTTGTCAGATTTTGGTACCAGTGTTATACTGGCTTCATAAAACCAGTTTGGATATATGTTCCTTTCTTCTCTATTTTCTGTAAGAGTTTGGGTAAAATAATTTCCTCCTTAAATGTGTGATACAAACTAATCAGTGAAACCACTTGGACTTGTGAGTTTTCTCTGTGGGGACGTTTTTGATAACAAATTAATTTTTGTAAAAGACATAAATAAGGCTATTAAGATTTTCTATTTGATTTTGTATCAGTTTTGGTTAAGTTGTATTTTTCAAGGAATTTGTTCATTTTACCTAAATTGTCAAACTTACTGGCATAATATTCTCGATATCCTTTTGATAAAGGTAGGATCTGTAAGTGATGGCCCCTCTTTTATTACTGATCTTGATAAATTTGTGCTATCTCCCTTTTGTTTTTCTTAATCTTATTAGGGGCTTATCAATTTTATTAACACAATACCAAAATTTGGTTTTATTAATTTTATTTGTCTTTTCTATTTCACTGATTCTGATTTATCTTTATTATTTTCTTTCTTTCACTCGCTTTGGATTATTTTCTTCATCTTACTAGCTTTCTAAAGTGGAAGCTTATATCATTGATAGTGAACCTTTTTTTCTCTCAAAGACAAGCATTCAAGGTTATAAATTTCCATCTTAATACTGCATTAGCTGCATTCTACAGAACTTGGTACACCATTTAAAAGTGTATTGTTTAATAGACAAATATTCAAGGCTTCTCTAGATCTTATTGAATCTATTTTAATTCAATTGTGGTCAGAAAACATACTTCATAAGATTGCAATCCTTTGAGATTATTTACTGAGACTTCATTGTCTTGCATATGATCTATCTTCGTGATAATTGTGTGTGCACTTGAAAAGAACATGTCTTCTGCGGTTGGCGCTGTAATCTCTAAATGTTAAGTAAGTGAATGTGGTTGATATCACACTCAGGTCTTCCACATGCTTACTGATTTTTTTCTTGGTCTAGTTGTTGTATCAGTTACTTAAGAGAGGAGCGCAGAACTTGTCAATTTTGTTTATGGAGCCTTTCTTGAGTTCCATCACTTTTTGATTCATGAACTTTTAAGCTCTGCTTTTAAGTCTGAACACTTAGAGCTGTTGTCTTCTTGATATATTGGTCCTTTTATCATTGTGCAATGTCCTTCTCTATCTCTGAAAATTCTTGTCTTGAAGACGACTTTACTCCAGCTTTCTCACGGCTGGTTTGCATGGTGTATCATTTTTCATCCTTTTACTTTCAATCTGCTTTTGTACTTAGAGGATAAACTACAAACAGCTGGCTCTTGTTTTTTCAATCTGACAATCTGCCATTTAATCCAAATGTTGTCCACTTACATTTAGTTATTGATATGGTTGATTTTCCAGTTTGCTTCCCCCCCTTATTCTATATTGGTCTACAGTTTCGTTTTTGGGGTGCTACTTTTATCAGGTTTGATATCCATGTAGTCACCTCAAAAACCCACATTT